TTTCTATTAAAATAAATTTTATATTATTTAAATTTTAAAAATATAGCTATTATATACGTTATTCTTCCCTAAATAATATAAATAAGAAAAAAAAATTAATATGAAATTTATTTATATATATATAAAATTACTTTTTATATTTTTTTATTTAAAAAATATATTATATTTTTTCTTTATTAATAATAAAACTAATATTATATTAATATGTAAAAAAAATAAAATTATATAAACACATTAAATATTATTTATTCCACATTAAAAATTAAATTTATATATAATATATATAATTATTTATATATATAGATATAAATATATATATAAATATATATATTATATATATAAATATATATTTATATATATATTTTTTTATATTTTTTCATAAAATAAATATAAATAATAATAAAATAACTATAATAATTACAACTATAAATACTTTTAATCTTATATTTTTCCAATATTAATCTCTTCTTACATTATTCGCCTTATTTATTTAAAAAAAAAGATAATTTTCATATATATATATATGAATCATAAAATATAACTTGTTTTTTTATATTAGATGCTGTTTAACTCATATTTGCTGTTTTTTTAACTGCCATTTCAATTTTTTTTCTTTTCAAGTACTTTTTCTATATTATCATTCATTACGGATTTAATTTCATTTAAATTATTTTTTATTTTTATTAAATTATCATCAGGATTAGAATTATAATATTTCTTTTTTTTATTTAATAATTTTATATTATAAATATAAAATACCATTTTTAATTTTATAGTATCCTCAAATTAACCTTTAAATGCATATTATATACCGTTCAATCTTTCGTTTTCTGAAAATTAAGATTTAAAAAGGGATTAAATTTCATTTAAAAATGTAAAGGCTATTCTTTAAGGAAATTAAGTCTAGGAAATACATAAATAAGTGAAGTTATTTTCGTTTATATAATGGAACATATATCTTTATATTAAAAAATAAAGAAATAAAATTTAATTTTTATTATTATTTTATTTTACTCAGGATTATATTCAAATGTAACTTTTTCGTTTTATTATAATTTTGGTAATAAATTCTTAGTTATTATTTCAAAATTGGCACTCAAAAATGAAAAATCGACTAATGTTGTGTCATTTCCTTTTGCTATTATTGCATATACTATAGACATATTATTTTAATTATTAATGAATAATATATAATTTAAAATTTAAATAACTTCTCTTTTTTTTATTTTATTAAATAAATATTATATATATATATAAAATATTTATTAAACATTATTTATCTTTTTATTTATGTGTGAATAAAAAATAAAAATTTAATATATAAAAAGTTTTTTTTTTTTTAAAAAAAAAAATATTAAGTCCATATTTTTTTTATACAAAAAATTGAATTTTATTTTATTATATTTTTATAAATTAAATTCTAAAAATTATCATAAAGTCAATAAAATGTTATTCATTATTATAAAAACAATTATTAATAATTTAATTAATAAAATATATAAATAAAAAAATATAAAATAAATAAACTTATAAAGATAATAACATATAAATAATAAAATTATAATAATAACTATATATAAATAATAAATATTAATGTAAAGATAGATATAAAATATATAAATAATAAAATTATAATTAAATATATATATAAAAATAATAAAATTTTATATAATTAATAAAATTACAATTAATAATATAAATAATATATTTTCTAATTAATAATAAACATAAATTTTTTTTTTCACTAAAATAAAAAAACATTTCTAAAAAAAAAAAAAAAAATTAACGTAATAATAATAATATTTTTACCAAATTATTGGATATATACAATTTTAATAAAACACTAATTTTTAAATTTATTAAACTTAAATATAAATATATATATATATAATAATACAAATAAAAAAATGTAAAATTAATAGGCTTTTCCTTGCATATATTATTTTTAACATTAACAATAATAATAATAGTAATATGAATAATAATAATATGAATAATAATAATAGTAATAATAATAGCAATAATAATAATAACAATAATATTAATCTTTAATAGAAACTAATTTATTAGCTAACTAATTTAGTTAATAATATTAAAACTAAAGTAAGAAAAATAAATACCATATATATAAATAAAAATATGTATATATATTATTAGATATTCAATAAGAATTATAAATTAACAATACCATAAATTAATTAAAAAAAGATTTCCCAGGAAAGCCTTTATTTGTTTATTTACATGATTTTTGTTCGAAATATAAGAAAAAATTAGATATAAATCAATAAAATATGAAATCAATAGGAATTTAATCTATTTAAACAAATATTATAATTGATAATATTTATAAATACTCTGGTTAAGGTTAAAATTTGAAAAAATCGAAGTAATAAGCTGCTAATATTGCTGTAATTAATTATTGTTAAGTAAATTAGTTTTTCATAACATATTTAGAGAAAATAATAAACAAACAAAAAAAACTAAAAAACAAAATTCAAAATTATTCACTTAAAAACTCGAAATAAGACTTTAATAGTAATTAAAGTCTTGAATTAATTAACAAAAAACAAAATAGTATTCAATAATAAGAAAATTAAAAAAATGATACATAAGTTTAAGAAATCTAATAAAGTAAAATAAATGATGAAATAAATATAATTAATCTTGAAAATATTGAATAAATAAATAAAAATTAACTTCAAATAAACTAAAACAATCAATAAACTTAAGATTTATAACCTATAATACCTTTAGAAAGTAATAATAATCAAAAAAATAACACTCAAAATAATTAAAATACATTAAAAAATATATAAAATGTTAATAATATTAATAAATACGATGATAATACTAAAATAATTATTAAAGATTAAATATAGAATAATTATTAGATGTAATTTTAATAAGAAATAAATTAATCTTAAATATTTTAAATAAATTAATAACAAATAATACAACCTTAATTATAATAATAAATAGATTAAAATAACATTAATTTAAATACATATTTTCCTTTCATAAATTATAGGCAAAAACTATCCTAAATTTATTAAAAAAGCTATAAATTTGATATTAATTATGAAGTATAATATGATGAATCTTAAAAGATATATAAGGTATGCTGTTATACTGCAAATTATTAATTTAAAGGCTAGGGTAGAAGTGTAAAAGAGGGAAAAATTTAAGCGGCTTTTTTGGCTATTAATACTTTTTAGAATAAAATAGAAACTCTTGATAAAAATAATAATAATTTAGACTAGGAATAAAATTAGAATTAAAATAATGAATAAAAAACCATTAAAAAATTAGAATTAGAAAAAAATAATTAGAATTAGAAAATAAGCAATTAAAAGATAATACTATGATTTAATATAAATCATTATTCGAAAAACAAAGCTTTTTAAAAGAAATCAAATTAAAGTACAATATGGAAGAAGAAGATTTTTAAAAAATTATATTATAAATTAATTTATTAAATGAATAAATAGATAATCTAAAAAAATAAAATGAAGAATAAATAGAAAGTTTTTAAAAAAAAGAAGTAAAATGAAGCAAAAAAGAATTAATTAATTATAATTTATAGAAAAAGAAAATGAGAGATAATTGATTTTATTATTATATATATATTTATATTAATTATTATTAAATAAATATGTTAATTATATATTTAATTATTAAAAATTATATATTTTACAATATTATTTTATATTTTAAAAATTTCAACTTAAATATAATATTTTCTAAAATAAATTATATCATGAATACTTAATCTCCTAATTAACAAAAAAAACAATGTAATTAATGCAAAAAAGAAGATAATTCTTTAAATTTATGTGCCGGCTGTTTAGAAGTATAATATTGTTCAATAGATTGTTAAAAAAAAGACTGGAAAAATCATAAAACATAATGTTAATTAAAGCAAGAAGAAATAAAAGAATAATTAAGATTAAAAGAAAAAAAGGTAAAATAATAATATTTATATATATATATATATATATATAAATATATATATATATATAAAAGTCAAGAAAAAATATAGATTGGTTTGAAAGATTAGATAATATTGGCTAAGGAAATTTCAGTTTAATTTTAAAAATGAAAGAGAAAAAAAACGATGAAATTTATGCTATAAAAGTAATTGAAAAACGTCGTTTAAAATAATTAGGAAAAGAAAATGATATTCTAATGGAAAAGCATGCATTGGAAAAACTAAAAGGCTCTCCTTATATAATTTAATTATTTGATACTTTCCATGACGAATTTTCACTTTATATATAAATGGAATATGTTGATGGTGGCGAATTGTGGAATTATTGCCGTATTTTTGGCCTTTTAAGTAAGGATTTAGTAAAATATTTCTTCTCACATATGATAAAAGCCGTCGAATATATGCATTCAAAAGGTATAATCCACCGCGACATAAAACCCGAGAATATTCTAGTAAAATAAGCTGATAAAAGTATAAAATTCTGTGATTTTGGGACCTCAAAGGACTCTTTTGATAGTTCCGTATAAGGTTCAGGAACTGGAAGACCTGGAAAAAAAAGATATGAGCATTTCGTGGGTACGCCTAATTTTATGCCACCAGAATGTATGAGAAATAAGTGCTCAGAATTCGGTTCTGACATATATTCTTTAGGAGGTTCAGTATTTTAATTAGTAAGTGGTTTTCCTCCTTTTATTGGAAAAAGTGAATTTTTGGTACTTTATTAGAGCGAAAAAATGGAAGTTTGTTTTTGGGAAGAAATATGGGAAGAAGAAGAGATTTTAAAGGATTTATTAAAATAAATGATGCGAAAAAAACTGGAAGATAGAATTTCTATATAAGATATAAAAAAACATGAATATTTTAAAAATGTAAATTGGGATAATTTAGGGACGTTTGAAGAGTGTAAAAGGGATAAAAAAGAAACATTTTTATATAATTTTAAAGAATTTTTAATGGAAAAATTTGATGAATTTAAAGAAAAAGGAAAAGAAGTTGATAATGTTTTCAATATATTGGAAGAAAAAGTAATAAATTAGGAAGATTTTAATTAAATAGATAAATAATAATTAATAAAAAGAATTCAAGTGATGAAAAAATAAGCTAGATAATTCTTTAATATTGAAGAGTTTTATTGGTAAAATGTAGAGTATTAGGGAGAAGTTGAAAATTCAGTTTATAAAAATTCAAATTTAGAAGATATTGAAGAATAAGATAATGAAGAAAATTAAAAATGAAATAATAAAAAAAAAAAGATGAATAATTATTTTTTTTTCATATTTTTTTTTTTTTTTTTTTTTCAGAAATTTATATTTTTAAAACTCAATACTAAAAAAAAAAAAAAAAGGGATAACAGACTTATTTTTTTATAAAAATATTTAAATTGAGTTTAAAAAAATATAAAAATAAATAATAACAATTTGAAAAAGTAATATATATATAAAAATATTCTTTTTGAGAAAAAGAATAAAATTACTAAAAAATAAAAATTTGTAACTATATATATTTAAAAAAAAATATATATTTTGAAATATAAATATATATAAAAATAAAAATAAAAATAGTTTAGTTTAAATATTTTTTTATTTTTTTCATATAAAATAATATATTATTTAATTTATATTTAAAACTTTATAAGGATAAAAAAATATTATATATCTTTAAGAAAATAGAAAATCAAATTTCATTTTATAATAATATAGTATTAAAAATAAATACTAACACGAAATAAAAAAATGATAATATAAAGTAAATAAAAAAATATAATATAATAAAAGTAAATTAAAAACAAATTTTAAATAAATAAATAATGTAATTTTATTATTATTTAATAAAAAAATGAAAAAAAAATTTCGAGAACATAAAATATATTAAAGAAATTAAAAATAATTTTAAAAAATATATAACTTTTATACAAAAAAAATTGTATAATATCAGTAATTTATTTTAAAAATCCTAAATAAAATTAAATTAAAAGAACATATAAATTAATATAAAAATATAATTTATTAATATATAAAAAAATATCAATATCAATATATATAAATATATATATATATATTTAAATATCATTCAATTTTTATTTTTTATAAAAAAAAATTCATTAAAATTTATTTATTAAATATTCATTCCAATTTTCTTATTATATGTTATTTTCTAATATTTCTTTCCATATATCTGAAATTAGATAATTTTATGAATTTTTGAAACTTTTTTTCATTTAATCTGCATATACGAAAAATTATTATTTTAAATTATTCAATTAAAGCTCTTAATAAAATTATGACTAATAATTCTATTATTATGTTAATATTTTTTACGGAGAATTTATTTTTTCTATAATTTTTTTTATAATTGGCTTTTGTTTTTAAATATTTAACTACTATTTTAGCTTTAATTATTCGAATTTTATTTTAATTAGGTATTATTTATATGATATTATTACATATTTTCATAATTATTTATTTAAAGTGGAGTTATTAATACATTTTACAATTATTATATCCTTTAAATCTATTAAATTTAAAAAGGTGATTATCTTTATGAAAAAATTTCATGTTTTTTTTCGAAATAAGTGATATATTATCATTAATTTGATTAAAAATTTACTCTTTGTTTTTTTTTTTCTTAATTAAAATATTATTTTTCAGAATTACAATTTTTTTATATTTTTATTTCCGAAAAATTATTTTTCCAAGTTTTTTTAAAAACTCGCATTTTCTTATTAAAAATTCATTAATTTTTGCCGAAAAAAAAGCAAATTCTAATCAAATTAATTATCAGAAAAATACAAAAAATCATTAATTTTTTAGATTTCTTTCATAAACTAAAAAATGTCTTCAAAATTTGAATTATTTTCTATACAAAAAGTTAAAATTTCCATAATCTTTTCAAATTTATCAAACTAAAATTCATTTTTACCTATATTTTATAGTTTATTTTTAATTAAATATCTAATTTTTATTAATTTAGAGTTTATTTTATCAATAATTTATATATTTTCAGTTTTTTTTATTCAAAACAATAAATAGAATGTGTATCAACTTTTTCAATTTTTATATATTCTTCACAATTAATACAAAATATCTCATCATTATTAGATTATAATAAAACTCCATTTTTTAAAGGAGAAAATCTCCTTTTAAAATATTAATCTTCCAAATTTAATATACTATACATATCATTAGTTAATGATTCCTAGTCTTTATTAATCCCAATTCTTTTAACAGTCTCTTTTTTAGTAATTTGACTTATAGTTGGTTTCTATGATACTTTATCACAAAAAGAAGATTGTGAAGATGAAGTATTATCTTAACATCTTCTAAATTATGAAAATGTTTATTTTGAATTTTATGTTTTTTAAGAAACAGGTGATTTTTATTTTTTTTACTTTTTTTTTATTATTTAATTTTTTTTTGTTCTTTTTTAATAATTTTCATTTGACGAAGAACTCTCTGATTTTTATTTTTTTCTATGTTTTTTTTTAAAGAAAATTCGTATTCTTCGGATGAAAAAGAAGAATTTTCACTTTCTGAAAATTAATCTTTTGTTTTTTGTCTTTTTATGCTTTATTTTATTTAATTATTTTAAGAAAATGCTCTCGGAAGTACTTAATTAGAGCTAATTTATTATGATTATTTTTATGCTTGAATTATTAAACGATCAACATCAGAAATAATCTCATTAATATTTTATTTTTAAACATTTTATTTTACTTAAGTATTATTTTATAAAGACAAAGACTTAAATTGTGCCTCTATTTCTTTTATTTATGACTGTTATTGATTTATTAGGTCGCTTATATTGGTAGGATTATATTTATGAATTTAAGGATTTTCACAAAATGAAATTTCTAGATTTTATTAGGGATTAAATTTTACTTATTTTTGTATATTTGGTTTTTTTATTTAATTTTAAGTAAGATTTTCAAGAACTTTTTAGGTACTATCAAATAAAGCTTTTTATTTTGTATTATTTTAAGGATTAATTAATAAAGACATTTTTATATATATTTTTAAAATAAATATTTTAAAAATTTAATTTTTTTTAAAAAATAAAAAATAAAAAAATATAGAAATAAAAAAAAAAAAAATTAAAGATTATTTAATAAATCATTTATAAAAAATATAGAAAATAAATATATTTATTTATAAAAATGAATTTTTTATAAAAATAATATATCTTAAAGTAAAAAAATATTATATTTAAGTAAAAAATAATTTTATAAAATAATATATTAAAATATAATTATAAAAAAATATAATAAATA